TTATGCTGCATTCAAAGGTATGCAGCTTGTCTGGATTGGCACTTCGATTTCTGACCATTCCTTTGTTAGTAGGTTCATGAAACTGAGAAAGCCAATTCAAGTTTTGGTAGACATTTAGCAGTTGTCATGATCAAAATCAAAAACAAGGTGGAAAATTCAGAAGAGCTACCCTGAAAGGAGTGATAACTTTCGACATTTGTAGATAACTTCTATCATATCATGCTTTTTCGGTTTCCAGAGGTATGTCATGAGATAAACAACCTCAAGTTCTAAAAAAAATTCACGCAAAAGAAATTTTTTGCAAACGAATCCTTATAAAAGAAAATTACTATCTGTCCGAAAGCTATTTCACGTTGAAGCATAATTTCGCAAGTTTCACATGAGTATTGCTATAAAAGTGCAAAATTCTCGCCCGATTGGCATAAAACTCAGATACGACAAGCAAGAATCGAAAAATATTCAATAGGGCTCGCGTGCAGTTTTGAGGGTTAAACAGAAAGGATGGGGTAAAAGACAGATGTTGGAACATGCATTTTGGAAAAACCACACATCTGGCAGCTGCTTGTGCAAGTTGCTGATTCACATAGCATGTTGTACAGCAGTGCTTAGCAAATGCCATGGGTAAAAATTTCTGGTGCAGAACTAGAGAGGGGGGAGGCGGAAGAAGGTAATGGAAAAATCGCAAAAATGGATTGAACAAAGTAGACATCCAGGAAGCGAATTTGAGCACGGAGAGTTGAGGGAGCTGTCATTCTGGCAGAAGCTGTCAAAAATCGTGCGGGAACAAACATAAAAATCTCGAATTCCGGCCGCGATTTTGGGACCACTTCTATAATATTTTTTGGTTCCTAAAGAGAAGAAAACACAATTAGTGATATAAAACACAGGGAGAGTTGAAAATTTGGCGGTTAGACACCATTTTGATGGTTTTGTTTATACTTTCCTTCGGGGTTCGAAAGCTATTATAACTGGTATTTTTGTCGCATAAAAAGAAGCGCCACATGACAATTACTAAACGAGATAAATGTAAAAAAACTTTTATGTTTGATCCCAACAGCCCTGCAGTTTTACAGAATAGATCAAAAAGAAAACCCGTCAGTGATAAAAAACAGTTAAAGAGTTGAAATTTTAACGGGTTAGACATCATTTGACTGGGTTTCTTTGTACTTCCGACCAAGATTCGAGGAGAATTTTCATCGATATTTTTGTACTTCGAATGTAAAACATGAAAAATTATGCATAAAAAGAAGTCCAGCATGAATAACCCGGGCAAAATGAATTTTAAAAAATCTGAACCCACCGTAATCACGACAGCATCGACATGCGTACGGTCTTGATCTTCTCGTTCACTTGCAACATCCTCTTCTTCAAGCATAGAGATCGAACTTTCCTTCGATCGTGCAGAAGGTGCAGAATCTACATGTCAATCATAAATTCAGGTACGGTATTAGTACGGTACCTTCAGCTTGCGATGTTCCAGGCGTTGACATCAATGGGCTGGGTGTGGCTGCTTCCTTTGGTTTACTCTCATTTGGTCGTTTCCAACTTGTCTCCATCTCGGTTTTCGACGACTCTTCTCGAACTTCGG